TTCAATTTGTATAGAGTAGGAACTCTGCATTTCTAACATCTGCTCAATACTGCCAATGTTGCTAGTATCTGAATATATGGGTGTTAAATCACACAAATAACTACATTCTTACTTCTTTTGAAGCACTAGGGATTGAACCCAAGGCTTTGCTCATTATACTTGAATTTATGGTAATAGTATGATGAAAAAAGCACAAGGGATAAAGAAATCAAATACAGCAACAGACCTATTTTGTACCTCAGGGATAGTAGAGGGGATAATTAAGCCAAAAGCTGAAGGATGATAAATTAGCTAGGCTAAATTATTGAGACCAACTATAGTTAATGCTATCACATCCCTTTGCCTGCAGGAATCCTCAGGATACCTTCTTAGGTATCTGTCTGCCTATAGGTATTCTCAGGACACCTGTGCTCAGATATTGCTGAAAATAGCTAAAAATCTTGAGCTTCCTAGTTGAGGCACAGTAGATTAAAAAGAAATAGACCTGCTTTACTTCCCTTAGTGATGTGCTGAGCTAGAGTTCAGTCTCTCTGTAGGTTCCCAACAGATTTACACACTAGTTGCCTACAACTATGATTCTTATAATTTTTCTTCTTCTTTTTCCTATCTCACATCCAACTAGAAATACTACATAGACGATGGATAAATGAATTTAGAGCTCAGCCTAGAGGTACAGGTATAAGCTTGGGTCATCACTGGCATAAAGATGATGTCTAAAACCATGGCACAGCATGACCTGAGAATAACAAGGTGTCTGGACCTGATGTTTTAATAAAGCCAAATGAATAAAAGAGAACTTTGCAACCCACTGAGTTGGTTTTGTTTTGTTTTGTTTTTCTAGTATCTGGGATCAAACTCAGGACTTTGTTTTGGCAAGGCAGGCACATGCCACTGAGCTAAATCCCTGGCCCCCACTGAGTTTGAAAGGTCATTTTGTTAAGGTCCAACCCAGTTCTCAAAGGCTATAGATCCTTACAATTCTGAAGGCCATGTAGAATTGCTGCTTTTGGAATACTGTCTCCTTTCAGTTCCATCTGAAGTGTTTTTATATGTATCTTAAATGATCTCAGAAATATATTAATACTCGGGTACTGTTTTTTCTCAACAATGACAGAATTTACTTAGTGAAGATCAACTTTATAGCTTTGAGATTATATGTAATTTGTGAAAATTTATCTTCTTCATCATTGATTCTGATGTTTTATTTATTTATTTATTTGTTTGTTTGTTTGTTTGTTTACTGTCCTGGGACTTGAACTCAGTACCTCATGCTTGCCAGGCATGAGCTGTGCTGCCACTCTAAATTCCCAGCCTGATTCGATGTTCTAAATTAATACTCAAATTGAAAATGTTAGACTAAGTTTACTCTCCTTATGTGTTCTGTCTGAACCTTGAGTGACTGAGTATTAATAAACAAAATAAATATCATACATGATTCTTAGCAATTCCACATAGTCTGGAAATTCTAGAAAATATAGGAAATATTTTATTTACTGTGCTTTATCGGATTAGTAGCTAGCTTAAATCTAAAGACACTTTACTCTTTACTTGGAAAAGAATACAAAATTAAAGAACAAAATGTTGAGAACAGTTTTTGGAAATGTAACTAAAAATTCAATTTCATATCTACATTGCATTTTGGAACTGTTACACAGGTTTAGAGTTATAATTCTTGGTTCATGTCATTCTTCCATCAGTTCATTAGATATGGCTGCTTTCTTGTTCATTACTTATTTATTTTAATAATGGAATAATCAGCCATAAAGCCATTGTGTAAAACAAAACCTAGGATTAAAACAGCATTCCAATCCAAACCTTTGATTCCTTTACAGATCTGCCCCTTTTCCCTCCCACCCAAAGGATCCATCACACAGGATCTTACATGTATTGTTCCTTTTATCTTGTTGTGCTGTATTTTTCTACAAAGTCTCCTCTCTCTCTCTCTATGTGTGTGTGTGTGTGTGTGTGTGTGTGTGTGTGTGTGTGGTAATATATACCTATATAGCAATTTTTAATCTTTAAAAAGGTGTGTCTCTATATTAATCTTTTAGAACTTTGTCAACCTTGTGTTTCTAAAATTAATTCATACTTGTGGATATGTTTCATTAATTTTGAGCATATTACAGTCTATCTCCTGTTTGTGGGCATTTTGACAGGTTCTGATTTTTGTTATATAAACAGTCCTGCTATAAATATATTTTACATATCTCTTGTTGTACATGTCAGGATTTTCTCTAGATATGGATATGGATATAAAAAATGATATGGATATCTAAAACCAGACATGGATATGGATATAAAATGGATAAATATGGATATACAAAATGCTTATACATCTAGGCATGGAGTGGTAAGGTATGTTCAATAGAGAAAAAATGGCAAGATTTTCCAATATGGTTGTTCTCATCTGGAGCATATAAAAAAGATGGTGGATTCACATTTGTTATTATCAGATTTTGAAGTATTTGGACTCTACTCCAGGTAAAATGGAAACCTATTATGATTTTCATAAACATACTATTTAAAAATAAAAGCTTTCCCTCATTTCCTATTTTTTTCAGATATATATAT